GGAAGAAATAATGACAGAAAACTGCCCCTACCTGGTGAAGTAGACTTATAAGTCCAGGAAGTACAGAGAGTCACAAACAAGAGGAACCAAAGAGGACCACACCAAGACACATCATAATTAAAATGCCAAGAGCAAAAGACAAAGAGAGAAGCTTAAAAGCAGCAAGAGAAAGACAGTCAGTTACCTACAAGGGAGTGCCCATATGACTGTCAGCTGATTTCTCAACAGAAACCATGCAAGCCAGAAGGGAGTGGCAAGAAGTATTTAAAGTGATGAATAGCAAGAACCTACAACCAAAATTACTCTACCTAGCAAGGCTATCATTTAGAACTGAAGGTCAGATAAAGAGCTTCACAGACAAGAAAAAGCTAAAGGAGTTCATCACCACCAAACCAGGATTATATGAAATGTTGAAGGGCATTCTTTAAGAAGAGAGAGAAGAAGAAAAAGGGAAAGATAAAAAGTATGAACAACAAAGTGGCAACAAATACATATCTGCCTACAATTGAATCTAAAAATCAAACGAATAAAAAAATCTGATGAACAGAATAAACTGGTGAATGGAATAGAATCATGAGTATGGAAATGGAATAGACTGACGATTCTCAGTGAGAAGGGAGTGTGAGAGGGTTCGGGAAGAGATTAGACAAAGAATTTATATGCAGTACCTATGGACACAGACAATAGGGTGGTGAGAGCCTGGGGCAGGGCTGGAACTGGGTGGAGGGGAACTATGAGGGGAAAAAAGAGGGCCCTCTGTAATAATCTCAACAATAAAGATTAATTTTTTCAAAAAGTGTGGTCCCCGGACCAGCACCATCACTGTTACCTGGGAATTTATTAAAAGTGCAAAATCTTAGGGCACACCCCAGACCTACTTAAATAGGAACCTACCTGTTAAAGCCCCTCCAGGTGATTGGGAGGCTTAAATTTGAGAACCACTGGTCTAGTTTTCATATTCACCTGAATGAATTGCATGCATGTTAAATGATTACCATTTTGAAAATTCCAAAATGTAAAATTTTGATCCTATTCAAAATGCCTCTAAACATATTAAAATAAAATTAATTCATCTCCTCATTGCCAACATTACAGCAATTCCTCCCCTAAACTTGACAAAACACCTAATCTGTACCCTGATTAGCCATCCAAAAAAGAAGTCAACACTGACCGGACTTACCAGGAACTGAGCTAAATTCAAACCATGAAAAGAGCACAGAGATCCAAATAGAACCCCCACAAGTTAAATCAGAGCCATATTAGGAAAAGGAAAAAACTATTTTGAATGTCAACAGTAGAAGCTTGATAATCTTAGTTCATAGCCCCATTATCTTTTTTTTTTTCACTAGATCAACTCTAGATTTTTACCTACCATTCTGCTCTATTTTCCTCTGGAAAACAATTTTCCCGGTTTTTAAGTCCATGAATCAGAGTAAAGCTACCCCCTCCACACATAGATTGAATCAACCCCATTGACTGAATCCCAAATTCTATAGAGAGAAAATATTATTGGCCCAGCATGGCCTATAAGTTTGGGGAATCTTTTTTTCTCTTAGCTAAAAATACAGGCTTGATCTTGCTTATAAATTAAAGAAAAAACTGTCTAAAGGGAGAGAGGGAAGTTACCATGCTATTTCCAGTAGCATCGCCAGCCCTGTCACCTAGTAAGTGCCCAGTGAGCATTTGTTAAACTAATTAATTTGGAACTTATTTTTAAATGGGTGAGTTTTGACCCACCAATTGTACCTGAGCAAGAAGCATTTATCTGAACTACTAGTAATGACTGTTGTCCATTCTATTTATTTTTTTCTATTCAGTCAGCCTGGGTGAGGGGCTGAGGGCCATTTTCAGGCTGGCCACAGCCCCTTCAGGGTAGGGGGTCCTGCTGGGGTGCCTGGCCAGTCTGGGTGAGGGGCTGAGGGCCGTTTTCAGGATGGCTAAGCCCTCCAGCAGGGACCCTCACCCCATGAGGGTGTGGCCAGCCCGGGTGAGGGGCTGATGGGTGTTTGCAGACTGGCCACAGCCCCCAGCCACCCAAGGTCCCAGTGAAGACCGGCTGGAAGCAGATATCTGGGATTTATTTATCTTCTATAATTGAAACTTTGTTGTCATGAGCGGAAGTCGCAGCCAGCTCAGAGCAGGCAGGAAGCTTGGCTTCCTCCATCGTCCAGGCAACCAAGCCTCCTGCTTGCTCCAGCTCCGTGGCTGTCAGCCGCCATCTTGATTGGGTTAATTTGCATATAGTCGTTCTGATTGGCTGGTGGTTGTGGCTTGGGGCGTTGCGAAGGGACGGTCCATTAGCATCTTTGTCTTTTATTAGTGTAGATTTTCCCAATGGACTGGGCATTCCAACTGTCAAGGGTAATCTTATTTTGTTTACCTTGGATTGAAATAAAGAATCCCTCTTGGCCTGATCCTATAATTGCAATTCCCTTAACCATAACAGTGGGGTACTAACATCCTTTGTGTCTACGTGTCACAATTATTAAGTGAGAACGTACATCAAAGCACTGTGCATAGTTCCTAACAGATCATGAGGCCTCCACTGATACTCAGTTCCTCCTTCTCTACTTAAAAATATTACAGGCCCACCACACCAAGTCAGGAATCTCTGTTGAGAAGATCACAGGGTTATAAAAGGAAAGAGAAAAAAAGATCATAGGGTTATTATAAAATGCTCAGATATATAGCCCCGCCTTTCTGTGTACAGGAAGATGGAACAGCATTTACCTGCCATGGTTAAGTGAAGTCAAATCTAATTATCATACATCTGTAGACAGTGTGCTCTTCACAAATTATATTGAAAAAAGCAGTTTATGCTTATGAACTAAAGAACCAATTTCTAAATGTAATATGATGAAGCTTTAGAAATTAATTTCAAAGACATTTCTTTGCTTCATTTGTTCCATTAATAGTCTATTTAAATAGCTAGCAATTTAGTAATAACTAAAATTTATACACCAAAATGATCCAGGGTGATCTCTTTCAAATGGTAGCCTAAAAGAATAAAATGATATATTTGTTCATCCTTATCCCTTCACTTTAACTGAGAAGTAGAGGATAATTTAGGGGTACCAATATCATTTGAGAAAAAATAATATATTGTTAAAAGACATAGTTAAGGGGCCAGGCAAATTAAATATCTATTATCATCACAGAGTCTTTCCTCAATTCAAAACATGTTAACTTCAAAACACAATTCCTTATAGCAAAAACGAATAACTATTTGGGGAGTGATGAAATGCTCTAAAATTGATTGTGGTGATGGTAACACAAGTCTGAATATTCTCAAACCCACTGAACTGTACACTTTAAGTGGGTAAGTTGTATAGTGTGTGAATTACATCTTGATACAGCTGTCATTTGAAAAAATGAATGACTTTCATCTACTAATAGCAGATTTTAAATGCTCTACTTTTACATTAGACAACTCAGTCTTTACTAGATTTCAAATAAGCAGGAAAACAGAGAAAAAGTATATTTTATTGGTATTTATGCCTAGCACAATTCAATTCAAATAAAATAGAACAGATTAACTTAATTTAATTAAGTATAACATATAAACAATTTTTTAAAGTTTCTGTCTCTTTTACCATCATATAATTGTGTTCATGCAAGCACAAACATCAAAACTGTCCTAAGCATGTATCATAGCACCACCTGATTTTTGCAGTACTTGATGTAGGTTTCATTGTTAAATATATCTGACTTTAGCAATGTAAACATTTGCTACAAGTAAACTTCAAAAGATAAAGGTGAATGATACTAATGAATAAATCAAATAGAACTGAGTATCACATGAGATAATTCAACAAAATATTATATAATACTGTTTCAATAAGAACTACAACTTAATAAATTTCACAAAATGGAAGCAGAAACAAAAAGTAATGTGTAAACTTCCAAAATAGTGTTAAAGTACTAAGGATTTAGTGTAAAATTTACCTCAGAAACACAAAGGAAAAAAATATAGCCATGCAGAGAAAACCAAAATTGTTTTAATAATTACAACTCATTTCTTAGTGCAAAGGCTTTCTAAAATGTACTCTCACAAAATGGTTTATTTTCTATCTCCCTGTAAAAAAAACCATGTTTAATCACATAAGTTGGGTATGAGTAGGAATTTCATATTGTTAGACTGGGGATTGTTACCAAAAAAATTTTTCATCTCTAAACTATTTTTCCAAATGACCAAAAACATCAAATTATCTTCATGAAAATTATCATATATAGTCAAATAATTTCTAAACAAATCATCATAAAAATAATTTGCCTTAACAGATTAAGTACAGAAATACTGTATACATAAGTGATGAAAATCACAGAAAAATATTCAATGAACAGGCAAAAATGTCCACATTTATTACTGTTGATGATTTTGTTTACTTTCTAGCTAAAATTAAGAAACAAGTTTTCAAAAGTCAGTATAGACATTCAGTGCCACTTGGTCTGCAATACACAAATGAGTTATGTCTATTCTCTATTCTTACTCTTTAACATAATTAAGTTATAAAGACCTCAATATTCCAAAACCAGTTACAATACTGTGGCAAGCAAAGTCAGTTTGTTCGTATTGCTCTTATATTCCAGCTTAATTTACAAACGTGAACATTTTAGCGTATGTTGTCTCAAACAATACTAATACAAAGCGTGTAGAGATATCTGTTGATTTCCACAGATTAATTGAAAAGAAAAAAAACCTGAAATATTATTTCATCTTCTTAAATGTCTTTAACATGTTTAGCACTTCAAGCAGCACTTGACACGGCAAGTTTCTTCAAATGATCCATGAACACTTGTAAACTAACATCATCTGTGAGAATAGGTGCTCCAGACTCCTAGAAAAAAAGATATTTGCTATGATTTAAATAGTGTGATACCATCAAACCTATAAGCAGTGTATAAGCAAATGTTTTAAACAAACAAGTAAATCATTTTAAGCACAATAATGCCTCTTTTCCTGCTGTGTAATAAAGAATGTGACTGGCCTTTGTCCCTGGGTTCCTGAGAGGGGATTCTGTATTTTTGGAATTTCCGAACAGCAATGTCTTTGTTCTTCATGAACTCCTGAGATCACACCTGAGTTTATGCTATGAGATGAGAAGACTCAGGATGGAGGCCAGTCATTAGAAAGATCAACCACGTGATTGGAGTGTTGGGGCTTTAAGACAGGCAGACCTCCAAGGAGGGGGAAGGAGGAGAAGGAAGGGAAACCGGGGATTGCGGAGAGTTGAAGATTGGGTTCAATGAGGCACCTATGATTCAATCAATCACACCTATGGAAAGGAAGTACCCAAAAACACCTCTGGATACCAAAGCTCAGCGGAGTTTCCTGTCTGACAAACCCAACAATGTGCTGGGAGGAAGTCCCACAGGATTCCATGAAAAAGTGGCAGACCTCTGTATCTGGGACCCTTTCAGATCTTACTCTGTCTCTTCATTTAGCTGGTCCTAGTTTGTAATCTTTATAGTCATAAATAAGGTACTTTCCTAGGTTCTATGAGTTGTTCTATCAAATTATTGAACCTCAGAGGAGTCATGGAAACCCCCCTAAGTACACACTTAGCTAGTTGGTTGAAAGTGTGGGTAGCCTGGGATCCTACTTGCAGCTGGCATCTAAAATGCAGGCAGTCTGGTATGGACCATATCCTTTAACTTGTGGGGTCTGAATTGCCTGCAAGTGGTCAGCATCATATCTGGTGTTACAATAGTTCCATATTCCATTCTACTAGTGTTAAAAATAGCTCCATATCCAAGTTAAAACAGTGTTAATTTTTTTTAATGAACTGGTGCTTTTATCTCGTTTAAAGAATAAGTCTCCTTATTGCTGCCTGTTTATTAAAACTGTATGTATTTTAACAGAAATGCCAGCTGTAAGGAAGCATTTTTAAATAAACTATGCTTACAAGTGTCCAAGTCATTTTAATTTATTTTGTAGATTATAATTCACAAGAGTTAGGGAACATTCCTAATTTCTATTTTAATGAAAATGATATTAACAGAATGACCCTGGCAACCAAACACATTAATAATGAATTTTTATTACTGCAAGAAAAAGATTTTCTATATTAATTTTTAGCCAGCAGTCGGACACCCTTAGTGCTGCCACGGAGGCAGGAGAGGCTCCCGCCACTGCCACTGTGCTTGTCAGCTGTGAGCTCAGCTTCTGGCTGAGCAGCGCTCCCCCTGTGGGAGCACACTGACCACCAGGGGGCAGCTCCTGCATTGAGTGTCTGCCCCCAGTGGTCAGTGCATGTCATAGCAACCAGTCATTCCATCATTCGGTCAATTTGCATATTAGCCTTTTATTATATAGGATTTGTTTTTTTTTTCATTTTATACATATTTTCCCCCACCTCAATTCACTCAAACTCTGACCTATTTTTCCTAGTCAAGACAAAATATATATATATATGGATTTTCTAAATTATATTCTAGAAGATCTTATTTGAAATTATAAATATAAATGTTCAACTAAATCTTATCAAAAATTTGAAGCAGGTTGATCTCAATCTTTCAAGTGCACCCTTTTTCTCTTTAAAATACATCCAAGATTAGGCAGAAAGGCCAAGCTTTATGTGATTTAGCATAAGAAGCACTACAGCAAGGCCTCAGAATCTTGTCACAGATGCAGTGTTGCAGTGGTGCCCTCTTCAGGCCACTCATAGATACTGGGTACTTGATTTCTGGCAAAAAGAAAACTAAGGTATTAGATTCCATATTTTTTAGTAAAATGCCCGGCTATCAAGTTAATTACATAAATTGCAGTCAACAATTTAGGTTAGGGATTAAAAATTCAGATTCTAGCCCTAGCCAGTTTGGCTCAGTGGATAGGGCGTCAGACTGCAGATTGAAGGGTCTCAGGTTCGATTCCGGCCAAGGGCACATGCCCGGGTTGTGGGCTCGATCCCCAGTAGGTGGCGTGGAGGAGGCAGCTAATCAATGATTCTCTCTCATCATTAATGTTTCTATCTCTCTCTCCCTGTCCCTTCCTCTCTGAAATCAATAAAGAAATATATATTTCAAATATTCAGATTCTAGAGTCAGACTGTCCTAGGTTCAAATCTGGACCCTGCCACAATTTAACTACGTGATCTTGGAAAGCTTCAATTTCCTTTTCTAAAAAATAGGGTTAATAGTACCCACCTCACAGAAGTGTTTTAATAATTAAATAGGAGTGCATAAAAAGCTCAGCATAGTAACCAAAACATAACAGGCAGTTGTTTACCTTTGCTCTAAATTATTCTTTAATGTGTCCATCTTTCTTATCTCCAGTTCCAAATTATACCCAAAGTCTTTCATCTTTCAAGCAATGCCTGAACTACAAAGCATAGTTGACAAGCATTATGGAAGCATGTTCTAGAAATTGTTAGTATATAAAAAGGGCCCTCACCACTGCTGTAAAAGCCTCTTATTCACCATCTGCTGATATCCTATACTTCTTGTAGTTATTTTTAATCTTTTTTTATTTTCTAGCTTTAACTCAGCATTTCTCACTCTTAGTAGTTTTCTATTACTGAAAAGAAACAGGCCATTATCCAACGTGAGCTTTCTCTCCTCCTCAAACTCTATCTTTAGCCTTCTCACCCTTTGCTTATGGAGAAATAAATGTCCTGCCTCCTTACCAATACTTCACTCCCATGTATGTAGTGCTGATGATCACACTGTCTCCTTTTGAGGATCTTAAACATCTATAAGCTGTTCTTTTGTGTGTCCCCAATATTAGCTTCTTTAACTTGGTCTACAAATAACTTCTGTGCCCTAATTCTAATCATCACCTATCTATCCTACTATTTAAACTCAGGGTATCTTTAGAAAAAAATCATTTTTACTTACAACCTCCATTTCTTTACCACCCACTAATTCCTTACAAACTTCTACTCAATCGCTATATTAAACCTGCTTATCAAAGGCGACAAATGACCTTCTCGTCACCAAGTCCATCTGCCTTCTTTCAGTCTTTACCCTCCTTTAAATGTCTGCAGCATCTCAGTGTGTGTTACCCCGTCTTCTTCCTTTTATAAAGTCCTCCCTCACCTATTATAACATGGTATTCTTTTCATTTTCTGTTCACCTTTTTGTTTACTTATAAAATATTCCTACCACTCAGGCTTCCTCAAGGTTTTATCTCAAGCGTCATTTGCCTCTTTACTCTCTCCTTGGACAAGCATCCACTGTAATGACTTTAAGTATCACGTTTCCACAATCAACTTTCACATCTTTGCCCTGATCACCAAACCCAAATTTCCAACAGCAGGCTTACTATGGACATCTAAATGGTACCTCAAACTCAATGTGTCTAAAATCGAAAGTTCTTCTGCTTTCCCACTCATTGACACATGTTCTCCCTAGTTACCTAGGCCAAAACCCCAAATTACTTTGTTCTCCCTCAGCTATTTATTTTCTAAAAATTCAAACCTACAGAAAAGTTTTTTTAAAAAGTACAATGAACAGCCACATACTCTATAAATTCACTGATTAATATTTTGCCACATCTGCTTTATGTTTCTATATAATTTTCCTTTTCGTTTTCTTCTTCTTGAATTATTTCTACAAGTTGAAGACATCATAGCATTTTACCCCCAAACCCTTAAGGATGTATCTCTTAAGACCAAGGACTATCTCCTACATCACCATGACACCATTATCACACTCAAGAAATCTGACCACATACTAGTATCTGACATATATTCTATACTCAAATTTCACAAATCATCCCAATTATGTTCTTTCCCTCATATCTCTCCCTCTAATCCAGGACCCAATCAGAATTCAGATTTTGTGTATAGCTGTCCTGCCCTGGAATAACTTTTACATTCCTGCAACTTCTAACCAAGTCTCATGGTGTCCACTTTGGAGTTATCTCCCAAACCGATTCCTTTTCACCATCTTGCCTTCTCACTTGGATTCCTTCAGTAGATACGGTTTCTTTTTTGTTTGTTTGTTTATTTTGTTAATCCTCACCCAAGAATATTTTTTTCCCATTGATTTTTAGAGAGAGTGGAAGGGAGGAGGAAAGACAGAGAGAGAAATATCAATGTGAGAGAGACACATCGACTCGTTGCCTCCCGCATGCACCCCCATCGGGCTAGGGATTGAGCCTGCAACCAAGGAACATGCCCTTGACCAGAATCAAACCGGAGACCCTTCATGAAGTCCGCGGGCTGATGCTCAAACCACTGAGAAAAACCAGATAGAGCAGCAGATAATAGTTTCAAGCTACAAGCTGCTCCCAATAAACCTTATCATGTGACTATATCATCTAAGACTCAAATTCACCCCTCTGTCTAAAACCTCTAATAGCATTTTGTTGCTTAACACACAAAGACTCATCTCCTCTCTCCTCAGCCTGGCATTCAAGGTCCTCCACAATTTGGATGTACGATGCATTTCTAGTTTTTATGTCCTACCATTTGTCCCTACATGTACTCTGTACCTTAGCCCATACTACCCTCTACCTAGAATTCCCTTCTTTAGGTAATTCCCACCTATTGAAATAATAAACATTCTAAAAGGAAATGTCCCCTTTTCTGATCACACACCCTTCTCCTGCAGGCGGTGGTGGCGCTGCGCGGGTGGGTGGGGCATCCCTTGGCAGGGGCAATCCATTGTGGAGCCCCAGCCGGGTGGGCAGGGCCTATATCTTTGGGAAGATCTATTGTGGAGCCCCGTGATCAATAGCCCTGCAGAGGAAGGCCCAGGCTACCTGGCCGGCAGCACTGCTGTGGGTGGGCAGAGCCTTCCTCTGTGGGGCAATCGATCGCAGGGCTCCCGGGCTGTAAGAGGGCACAGGCTGGGCTGAGAGACCCTCCCCCACTCCCCCCATCCCACCCCCAGTACACAAATTTCGTGCACCGGGGCCTCTACTAGATTATAAGCTCTTCAAAGGCAGCAATGTCTGCTGTGTACCGTCAAGTACAAATATCAAGTCCTGCCTATTGTACACTAAATAAATTTTATATACTGTACCAAGAGGTTAAATGTCTACCAAATTAAAATATATTAATAATGATTTCCAGGCCTCCAGCCTCTCCTGCTCAGCTATAATCCCTGACCTCCCCTGGCTTACTGTGTGTGACCTTTTGTGGTCATGGCCTAGCATTAAGTTTAAATCATCACTTCTGCCCGGCTGATGTGGCTCAGTGTTAGAACGTCAACCTATGAACCAGGAGGTCATGGTTCGGTTCTGGGTTGGGGCACATACCCGGGTTGAGGGCTCATCCCTAGTGTGGGGCGTGCAGGAAGCAGCCAATCAATGATTCTCTCTCGTCAATGATGTTTCTCTTTCTCACTCCCTCTCCCTTCCTCTTTGAAATCAATAAAAATATATTAAAAAATTAAAATAAATAAATCATCACTTCTATCTTATGTTATACACTCTATTGCTTTTTTTCTCAAGGGTGTGGTGCTAAATTTGGAATATGAAAGGGTTATATCTATTTGATATGATCACTTTTTTATTTTCTATGGTATCACCAAATACTAATTCTATTTTCTACTTTTATTTTTTCATTACTTTTCCAACAGAAATTGTTATCAAATACATAGGGAAAATGTAGTTCTCACGAAAATAACAAACTATAAATACACAAAGAAATAACTTCCAAGGTCTGCTATTTATACTTACCTGTCCCCAGGCATACATATTATTATGAGTCTGTGAAGGGTTGACTTTTGAAAGCAGAAAACGGGCCTTGAAAGCAAAGAAGACATAACATTATCCATCAAAAATAGGTTTAGTCAATATTAAGTTGAACGAATATATTATGCCATCTAAAATCAATTTTATTAAAATATAACTTTTTAAAAAATGAACATTTTAAAATATGCAGGCCACTATACATTACAAATAAATAATAAATGTACCCCCTTCTTTCCAAATCATACATTCATAACATTAATAGCAAATAATAAATTGCTGAGTCTAAAACTCAGCATATAAAAATTATGTTTGCAACAATTATGACAAGATCAGTATGAAATTTACTAAACACTTTGTCTGAAACATCATCAGAGGTTTGACAGTCCAAAATATGATAAAAATAAAAATCATAAAAAGAAATATTAATAAAAATAACAATTGTGAAAACTTACATATTGTTAATTTAAACAATAACTCTCAAACTTTTTGAAATTGTAGGCTATTCTATGAGACAAACTACCCAACATTTTATCCATCTATCCACGTGCCTTATCATCATGAAAAAGCCAGGATAAAAGAGGAAAACAGCAATGCCACGGTGAAACATCAATGAGAGAACCATCATAAATTATTATTTTATATTGGAAGATCACAGGCTGTCACATTTTTTGAAACTTAGTACCATACAGAATCTTTATTTCTACTCCATAAGTAAACAGTTTAGCACAAGACAACTGCCTCTACAGTCAGAACATCTGGATTCAAATCCCAACTCCTACATTCATTATGTTGCCTCGGCCACAAGTAACCTAAGTCCCAATTTTATTATCTATATAACAGAGATAACAAAAGGACTATTAGGAGGATCAAGTGAGAGATGGTGTGTAAAATTCTAACTATTACCTTTGTAAATACTCAATACACAGTAGTTATTATATAAAATGCTAATAATAATTGCTATTATTTCTGAAGAACAGTTATTGGTATTTACTACCTACTTTATTATATTAGGCATAGGAATGCAGCAAAAAAAAAAAGTATGATCCCTGCCTTTGACAAGCAAATGAAACAGACTTTTAAACAATTTATAACTAATTTATTATAACTGAAATAAGTACAGTAAAATGTATTTTATAATGTAAGTTAAGGGGTCCTAGCCTAGACTTCTGAAAGGATCAAAAGGGCCATGTGCATGTGTACATGTTATCTTATTTAATCCTCATGTAATTGTAAAAACCAAAAACCTTTTTTAATACCATAATGCTTTCCTTTACATGACATTTTCTAGAAAACTAGAATGATAGAATGAGGAAAACAGAAAAAACTATGTGTCCACAAACTTCATATTCACAGACTTAATCAGTAAATAACAGCTTTAAGAAAAGTACACTAAGTTATTTCCCACACTGTCCACGTCTTCTTGCTCAACTGGAGCTGGCAAACCACCATAACACTACCCTGGCCCTGTTATTGGAGCTGGGCTGTATGCAGGAATGGGAGAAACTGCCAGCATTAGTCCACTAGTCAATAATCGTACAGCTCTGCTCCCAAAACTATGGCAAAAAGTAACTATACATACTCCTAGATACCTTCTCCTGCCATCTCCTTCCTATTTGCCTGGTAGAGCAATCTATTCAAATTAAAGTCAGAAGGCAAATAGGAACAACTCATTACAAAAGCAGAAACAAACAAACACACAAACAGAGTAACAGTACTTACCTGGCTGCCCCCATGTTCAGTATCGATGTATCTCGGCATTGGAAATCTGGAGTGAAGAATCTCCTGGGCGTCATCCACTGGGGCTTGCAGAAGGTGGCGGAAATTTTCATATTCTGGCATGTCCTGGTATCCTGACTTGCGCCACTGGGCTATGGTCTTATTTTAAAACAATTAATGGAATTATTACTTTTAAGTTCTTGTGTATCCAAAAATTTTAAAGACATTTTTTCCAACAGAAATAATCTTCAGATAATAAGAGAATTATAGATTATTCCATTTATCTCAATTTTTAAAGTTAAGAATATGAATTTCAGTGTTCTTGAGTAAATAGATACACAATTAGGATATTTCTTCTCCTTTAAAATAATGCACTTATCAAATTAATGTTACTAAACAATATACTTATCAAATTAATGTTACTAAAAGCTATCTACCTAAGCTTATGATAAATGAGGGAAGTTTTTATTACAGAAGACTTCCCAGAGACTTCTAAATTACCTACTATTATGAAGTCTTTACCAATGGAGTTACATTCTGGCAAGATAAGAAAACATAAAAATTTTAATAATACAGCAATACTATTATCAAGATAGTATACCTGTAGAAGAGTATTTCAATCAATTCTTTTATTAAAGTAAATGGCTCCAAATTAAATCATCCAAAAATTTAAACCTGGCTTGGCTTCTAAGTTAACTGAATCAGTCAACATACTCTATAGTTTTATATCATCTGCATTTATGATTTTTTTCTTTAAGCACATTAACAAGCAATTTGAAGACACAAGCATTATAAATAAAACACACAAAGAAATATGCAAAAACCTAGCGTTATCACGTTACAGGTGTTATTCTTAAAAAGTAAAGAACATTATAAATAATAATGTTGCTCAGTGAACTGTTAGACCAACCAGTGACAGGAAGCGGGCACTAAGAACTGTTTGTGCCCTGGCCAATTTGGCTCAGTGGATAGAGTGTCGGCCTGCAGACCGAAAGGTCCCAGGTTCGATTCCAGTCAAGGGCACATGCCTGGGTTGCAGGCTTGATCCCCAGTAGGGAGCTCGCAGGAGGCAGCAGATCAAGGATGCTCTTTATCATTGATGTTTCTATCTCTCTCTCCCTCTCCCTTCCTCTCTGAAATCAATAAAAATAAATTAAAAAAATAAAAATTACAATATGTTTTTAAAAAGGAACATTTTAAATGATTACATGAAATAATAAAAAAGGAAGTCTGCCCACTGACAAAGGCTGATTCTTCCCCTCTTAATGCCTTTTGGTAAAACCCAAAAATATGATCTGCCTATGTATATATCAATGCTTTTATTTTCACAACACTATGCTTTTTATAAATCTATTTGTCTAATCATGTGTGGACAAAAAGATAAAATTATCACAGGTGAGTCAATTGCAAATGAAGTAGGAAGGACCACAGTTTACACATATTTTATAGAAATGGAAATAAAAGTTTATCATAGTGGAAAACACGAGGTACATAGTGACACAGCTTTAAATGCCATGGGATCTTACCTCACCATGATAAATCAAAATCTGGAAGAATGTGTCCATCAGAAGAATACGATCTGCAAGAATGCTGCTGCTATCAAGAAGAACCGGCTAACGTGAACAAAATGAGAAAGGAGGAAGAAGGAAAAATAAATTAAAGACACACAAGATCTTTCCAGGATCAATTTAAATTTTTTAAGTTTTAAATTTGTATCATATTACTTAAAACCTTTTGCTATTATGAATTCTCATGGCATATTTTAACTTTATTTTCTCAGAAATCTCTAAGCTGAGGTTAACAATTGAGAAATGAGTAAAAAAGAAATCAAGGATGACTCAAGCTCAGTGAACTGTTAGACCAACCAGTGACAGGAGGCAGGCACTAAATGGATAGAGTGTCGGCCTGCAGACCGAAAGGCCTGGCCGACATGGGTCAGTGGTTGAGCCTCAACCTATGAACCAAGAGGTCACAATTCCACTCCCACCTGGGTTGCTGGTGGAACCATTGAGTAAGAGGGGAAAAGCTTGGGATAGAGCAAATTTGGAGCAGACTGGAAGTAGGGGTTATGAAATGAAAGGGAGTGGCCTGAACTAATGACATAAATTTAAAAACACATGCATGAAGATGGTAATTAAACCTATAGATTAGACTGCATCACATAGAGAGAGGAAAGACAGAGAAGTCAGATTCCTGGAGCATAACTTAGAGGTCTGAAAGGGAGAAGCCAACAACAAAAGGAACCTGAGAAGGAACAGGCGTGAGTAGAAGGAAACCTGGAAGGTACTATAGGTGTCAGAGAAGCCTAGAGCAAAAGGTTTGCAAGGAGTTCTCACTAGGAGAATACTGTTGAGAGTGCTGGCAAGATATAGGATAATGTTATGAGTTGTTTCAGTATGATGTTAGGGATAAGAGTCTGACTGATACAGGTTGAGAAGAGAATATGAGATGAGAAAGTATAGACAACAAGTAGATTGTGAATTTGGCTGTGACCAGAACAAGAGAGATGGGATGTCAATTAGAAAAAAATGTCAAGTCAGGGTTTTTTGTTTGTTTTAACATGAATGCCTTTTTTAAAAAATTAAATTTATGCCTGGCCGACATGGGTCAGTGGTTGAGCCTCAACGTATGAACGAAGAGGTCACACTTCCACTCCCACCTGAGTTGCTGGCTTGATCCCCAAGGGGGGGTGGGAGGGAGGAAGGATGTGTAGAAGGCAGCTAATCAATGATTCTCTCTCATCATTAATGTTTCTCTCTCTCTCTCTCTCTGAAATCAATAAAAACATATTTTTAATTAAATTTATTGGAATGACATTGGTTGACAACTATGAGTGCTTTTAAGGTTTATATGTTAATAAGAATAATCCAGATGGAGAGAAAATGATGATAACGCAGGAAAGAAAAGAGGATAACTCAAAAGCAAAGCCTAAGAAAATGAAGCTAATAGGACTCATGGACTAAATGAAAAGGCTGGAACTTGAGAGAAGCAGGTACTAGAGATGATAGGATTCCAATTTTCTTCTAAACACTATTCTACTTTTTCCAGATGTCTACAATTTACATATATTACTCTGAAATTTTTAAGTTATTTCTAAACTTTCTTTCTTGATTCAAAGAACTACAAGAGCAAATACATAGTTAGGTAAACATGTTAAAAATATATATTTTCATAAAAAAGTAGAAAATATGAGATAAATACTAAAACAATTATTGTAACAAAATAAAACATTTTATCCACTTTTTAATTTATTTTTACAAAATAGTAAATAAAGGCCTCATGAGGGATCATTAATCAATCAGTATTATAAGTATTCTCTTTATACTGACCTTTCCTAAAGTATTATTTTCAAATATGGTCATAACATACATTTACCTGATAAAATAGACAATTTTAACTACAAGATGAAAAAACTGTTTACTTGGTAAGTTAAAGTAAGTGGGACAGTTTGTTAAGGAAACTAAATGAATGACTTTATCCCTTTTCTAAGTACATGTCTATATAATCAACTGTAGCTTATATTCAAAAAAGACTAGAGGAAAATGAGATATTAAAGCAAGAGGTTTTATTCAGACACTAAACTCTGGAATAAACTACAGATTCTAGAATCATAATCACCACTAGACATTGTTAAAAATATAAGAATCATAAGCCCTGAGGATTTGATCAACCAAATGACTGGACAAAACGATCAAAGTCTCTTCTATCTCACTGTCTCATTATTTGTTTAATGATTTCCTAATATGACCTAGCATGGAATCTAGCAACATGGTAAGCACTCATAAATATCTTAAATAAACAAATTAATAACTTAAGATAATTATTCTTGAATTAAATTCTTTTTTTTTTAAATATATTTTATTGATTTTTTACAGAGAGGAAGGGAGAGAGATAGAGAGTTAGAAACACCGATGAGAGAGAGACATCCATCAGCTGCCTCCTGCACATCTCCCACTGGGGATGTGCCCGCAACCCAGGAACATGCCCTTGACCGGAATCGAACCTGGGACCTTTCAGTCTGCAGGCCGACGCTCTATCCACTGAGCCAAACCGGTTTCGGCTAAATTCTTATATTTAGTACTGCATTTCAAGAAAAAGTTTGTTGCCCTTTCTGGTTTGGCTCAGTGGATAGAGTGTCGGCCTGCAGACCAAAAGGTCCCAGGTTCGATTCTAGTCAAGGGCACATGCCTGGGGTGTAAAAAAAAAGAAAGAAAAAGTTTGTTTTTTACTTTCTAATGGCCCACATCACCGTAACAAAAACAATTTTTATGCCCCTCTTACCTCTGGTGGTCCACTAAAAGAATATGCATACAGAATAGGTTGAATCATGATTAGAGACTGGGTCAAGTCTTGACGCATAAAATGGTGACGATAGTATGAACTCTCATCAGGGCTGTTGTTAAAAACTTGCAAGAAAGGAGACCTTCTTAAGTGAAACATAAACTACAAGATAAAACATGTGAGACAGCTTTTTAATGATTTTAATATTGCAATAGGAGTCTACTATTACAAAAAGCATTTGATTACAACTACTAAAACCACAATAAAACAAACGGCATTGAAAATTATATTTCTAAGAATATTATTTATGATATTTACCAGTTACTTGAAAATGTAATTCAACAATTAAAAGATTAAAGTAAAAGGGGTGACTCAAAAGAAAAATAAAATTAGAGACAAAAATGCCTAGCTCAGATTTAAGTTTTCAGAGGCTGGTGCCAGGTGGTGCACATCAACATTCTTTGTTTTTATCCCTCATTTCTCTGACCACATATCTGTGCTTTTTTATTATTATTCATTAACACCACCAAATACTCTAAGAGAACTTAAAAATAGATTAACAGATTTTCTGCTTTTTGTGTAACTCCCACAAATTGCACTGGAAAGGGTCTGCACTGGTTTTTAAAAAGACTTACATACACCCACTTGTTTCTTAATATTTAAGGTCTTATCTTCAGGTAACATTCCCTACAGTGTTTCATTTATTCTTTCCCCTTCCACGCCTCATATGAAAAATATCGGAAAGAGGGAGAGTTAAACCTGAATGAAGGAGCTCCACTGTCCTCTGACACAATCAAAGGTCTTTGATACAATCAATAGGATCAGCTCCCAAGTGCTCCCACCCATTTGTCTTTCAGTTACTTCTCTCACCTTCCTTCGGCCCTCAGGTCTCAAGTGTCTACAGGTTGCTCCTGAAAAAAACTCACTCCACATTTCTCTCTCCCAACACAGGCCACTCACTGAAATTCTCATTCCTTTTCCTAATGTACTGAGCAGTTCTCTCATCCCTTACCACTTCAGCCATCCCTGCTTATTCAGAGGAATGAGTAAATGGTAAATTTGGAGTTAAATATTCTGAAGATGAAGACCTCCATTAAATTTAGTCTATGTCACCTTTCAGAAGATCATCAGCTTTGAAAACCCAAAGCAGAAAAGTCTTTCTGGGTCTTCTGATCTATATTTCCCACAGAGGGGAAAAGATGGGATGCCCAGACTTCTCAGAATCTAAAAGCCTAAAGAGAAGGTGTAAAGTAGGAAGAGAAGCGAAAGCAAAGAAAGTGTGGAGAATTCGGTCAAATGCTTAAGCTAATACTCTCATTTCCTTTTCCATTAGTTTCTGCTATGAAGATGAGGCCTGAAAATTCCCAACACAGCAAGGGTTTTTGCCTGCCTTAAGACAAGTGGACTCTGCCTTTTCCCAGTTCCTTAAAACTTCACCAGAAATTTAGGGAAGTCTCCCCCTGTAAACATGGAGTTTCTATGTTACAAATCAATAAAACATTTTCCAAACAATGTAAGAGGAGCTCTGAAAAGTTGAGGCTTTAAACAAAGTTTTCATGAGCAAAAATTTGAATTTCTACTTATTAATGTTAATCATCATTCCAGGCTGAGCTAAAAAGCCACCTCTTCTATAAATATGTAACTAACTGCCCTTGCTGGTTTGGCTGAGTGGATAGAGCATCAGCCTGCAGACCAAAGAGTCCTGGGATCCCCATTCCGGTCAGGGGCACATACCTCAGTTGCAGGCTCCTCCCCAGCCTAGACCCTGGACAGGGCATGTGGACCGAAGGGTCCTGGGTTTGATTCCCACCAAGGGCATGTACCTTGGTTGGCCAGCCCAGGTCCTGGTCCTGGCTCGTGCAGGAGGCAACCAATCAATGTTTTTCTTTCCCATCAATATTTCTCTCTAGCTTTCCCTCTCTCTAAAAAAGCAATGGAAAAATATCCTCAGGTTAGGATTTAAAAATAACAAAAACATAAATATATAACTAACCGCCCATTTGGAAGGATTCCTTCCAGTTTCCTTTAAATTCTATGTATCTCTCATACCATTTCTCATTTTCAGGTCTGCCATCTCACCCTTCAGATTGAAAGCTCCTTAAAAATGGGATCCACGACTATTCCTGGCCACATGAAGACTAGAATGTGCATCCTCCTCTTTTAGGTGTGGGGAAGTCATGTCTCCTCCAGCAGTTTACAGACAAGCGGTTCCAGCCTTTCCACAACCTCACCATAGGTGTGGAGTTTGGGGCCCGTATTATCAACATTGATGGGAAACAAATCAAACTGCAAATCTGGGATACAGCTGGGCAAGAATTTTTCCATTCTATCACCCATTCCTACTACAGGGGAGCAGCTGGAGCACTGCTGGTGTACGACATCACAAGGCGTGAAAACTTCAACCACCTGACCCTCATGGTTAGAGGATGCCCGGCAGCACTCTAGTTCCAACATGGTTATCATGCTGATTGGGAATAACAGTGACTTAGAGTCCTGAAGG